GTTTGTGACAAGTTAAATACAAGGTATATGAAAAAAGATGTAACATCCACAAAGTTCTTTGTTTCAAGGTGGAATATGTACAAGATGATTGACTCAAAATCATCATGGATCAATTCTTTGAACTTAAGACTATTTTGAACAAGTTCAAACAATACAAGATAGAAATGGATGAGGCATTTGTTGTGTCCTCTATCATTGATAAGCATCCACCAACATGATAGGACTTTAAGAAAACATTGAAACATAAAAAGAGGATGTTATTCTTGAAGAGCTTACAAGTCATCTTAAATTAGAAGAGCAGTACCAAACCTGCAAAAACTACTCTCCTTACTAAATCCTCAAAGACCACCTAATCGAAGTAACCCTGAGGCAGTACTCTCTTGCATCCGAACAAGACTTGCTTTCTCCTACAGAGCCCTATACCCTGAGAAGACTAGTTGCTATGATATTTCAACCTCTTTATTTTGATTATTTTGAGAAAAAAATTGATAATGGAACAAAAAATGCAAAATAAAAGTAATTTTCATAAGTGAACTAACCTAAAATCGGCTATATATATGTGTGTATGTATATATATATATATATATATATATATGCCTAAATAAAGAAATATTGGTAACTTTTGACGCCATAATTAATTAGTTTCATTTTTTTTAATAAGTTTTCAATTAATTAAAATTAAGGGGCTAAAATCCTAAATTAGTCAAAATAAACTGTTGCATGCATCTTAAAATGGAAAATTTTACAAAGAGTCTAAAAATGAGAGCATGATTTGTGTGATTAAGATGAAGATGGAGCTGGAATAAGTGAAATTCAAGTGCAAAGTCAAATTAATGATGAACAATACATGTGACTGACTGCACAATGAACTAAAAACTTCAATATATGCATCATCACCGAAAGGAAAGAATTGCTACAATATTGTCAAAAAGTGGGCACCACTCAGTTTCATGTATAACCATGTAAAAGGGGATGAAATTCATTCATGATGAGTTGAGATACTTAGTTGTATCATACACTCTCCCTTTGGATATGTGTGATCAGTAATCAGTACTGCAATATATAATTAGACTTCTTATCTTCTAATTTAACTTCTGTTTTACAGAATTCATTCAAAAGCCAAAACTGGTACATACTACATATGAACCATTGACACTCAATAATTTTATTGCCAACAATTTTTTTTTCTTTTTTTTTTTTTGGTAATGATCATGAGAAAATAGATATTAATCATGTTTAAATAGTTTAAATTTTTAATATGAAATTGGTCTCCAAATTGTATGCCTTTTGAACCTTGGGATCGGGGAGGTGCAGTTTATATTCTTTATACTAAATATAAAAGGTGGCAAACACATCCTCTATTAATTGAAAAACACATTTGGTATATCATGATCAATTGAATAAAGCTGACAGACAAAGAAAGCTGAAGTCTTGAATCTTCCAATTTCGCTGGATATATGTGGAGGATAAATATATAGAACATCTGCCAAGGAACACCTCATTTCGGTGGCGATCATTATCTAATGGATCTTGACCCAATGAAAAAGTTCCTGCTAAAATTCAAGTGACAAGATTTTCATTTTGTTCACACCATATTGTTGAAAAGCTTTATATATATATATATATATATATATATATATATATGAATGCCCCTCTTAGTTGTCATACATAAAACAAGAACATAATTCAAATCTTAAAACAACTGTTAGGCCAATCTTGAGTTGTTAATAAAAATTTTTGTAATACTTAACATTTGTGGGTAAACAAAACTTTCCTTAGCGACCTTGTTATTGTTTGCTTAGAGATCTAGCTGTTTGTATAACTTTTTTTTCTATATATAAAAGAGGTCATAGTCAATGCATAAGAGAAAGAATGGCAAGTGTTAGAATTCGAATTGCACACCTGCTACCAATTTTTAAAAGTAGCTGCACAAGCTAACAGAGCTAAATTCTAACTAAGTTGTTTTTTACCTTCCAAGAGTTGTCTTGGTTACTTTCAAATTTCAATAATTTAAAGAATCTCAGCCGACACATAAGGAAGGGAGCAAAACTAAAGCTATATCAAATAAAAACATGAATTATTACTTCCTGAAATTCTTTTCTGTTGTTGTCTTTTGTTAGTGACTTCAAATCATTAGATCAAGTAGTTTTCACTTGCATGCTTAGATCTCACAGTCGTCTAAGGGATATAGGGTTTTCGATCATTTAGTAAAGGCACCGAATTTGTTATAGAAATGGACCGAACTCAATGAATATGTTACAATTTGCTTTTTCCCTGGCAACTAAAGTCAAGTTAGAGGTAAATGCTAAATGAAAATTGCCACCTCATCTTAAATTTCCATTTTACCAACCCACCTCTATAAATTGGGAGGGGAACCAATCCAATTGCAGCAAAAATCACATCTATGCATGAATTTTTCTAAGATCTCTCTCCCATCGTATACATAAATATTCTTTCCACAAAACCAAGTTCTTGTATGCATAGAAAGTGAAAAAAAAATGAAGGCATCATGTATCGCATAGTGTGCCCTGGCGGTGCTCCTCCTGGCTGAAGCACAGGTATCAATGGCAGTGACATGCAGCCCAACACAGCTGAGCTCCTGCGTGAGCGCCACAACATCATCATCTCCACCATCTCAATTGTGCTGCAGCAAGATCAAGGAACAGAAGCCTTGCCTTTGCCAATACCTTAAGAATCCCACCCTCAAGAAATTTATTAACACCAGCAACGCCAGGAGGGTTGCTACCACCTGTGGTACTCCCTTCCCAAAGTGCTAGGCAACTAAACCTTTTCTAAGGCTCTCTTCTCTCCATTTTTCAGCAGAATATGAATCTAGAAACAAAGTATTAAGGCTGGAGGGATAGAGAGAAATTGATTTATCATATAGTTTTGGAGTTTTATATCTTATTTTGCTGCTTGTACTAAGAGAACTAAGGTTAGCTCTGTGATGAAAATAATGTTGGAATCATGGTCACATGTCACCAATTTGTTGACTGTCTTGTGTGATCTTTCATACTACTAGTTGTTGCAGACGCACTATCTTTAATGAAAATCAGTTTTGGATCATTAGAATATGTCTCTTTGACTCTATGAAATTTCTCTTTTTTCTCACACACAAATGCGTTTTTTTCCCCTTGTGGCATTTTTTGAAGTTAGTTTAAATGAGCTATGAATGTAATGGTTTTTTCACTGTTTATTTATCCGAGTTTGCTCCAAAAAACCATTTGCATCAAAGTTTAGATGAACGATGACTTGCATGATTATATATATATATATATATATATATATAGACACACACTATCATTTGACAATAAATCAAAAGCATTAGAGTTGCCTTAAGTTATTGCATGCTATAAAAATAGATAAAAATAAAAATTTAATTTTCGTTAATTTAAAAAAATATATATTAAAAATTGTACCCACAGCGAAGTACGCAAGCTGCCTGCTAGTTTTGCTAGTCGAGAAAAAGTAAGACTTTAACTTTACACACTTGCTAATGAGGTGAGAGATGTCAACAGATCAAGTCTAGGCAAGTTTAATTTGGACCTCGTTGCGCTTGAATCTCCAAGACTTTCTCTAGGCTTTCCCGCATCTAGAAGACCCATCTAACCTTTTCTGTCCTTTATTTTTTATTTAATAAAGGGATTTTTTTATTTAATAAAAATTTTTGAATTTTAATTTTTTTAAAAAAATCTTGTATTAATCAATAAATCAAATATCAAAATGTTTTTGGTGATTTTATACATGCAATATCATAACTTAGTTACTTACAAAACATGTTTTCAATTTATAATTTTTTAAGACAAAAATATCTCAAATATTACAAAAAATATGGCTTTGCTTATGATTTGATAAACTTGAATATAAAATATTTTTATCATTATTGAATTATGAAAAATATTTTTATAATTATATAATTAGCTTTTTAAAATTTTTTTAGTTTCAATTATTTAAAAATAATTATGTTGACTAATGGTCAAGGGGCCAAAATTAACATTTTGAAACATGAGGGGCCAAAATGTCTTTAAAGAATGTTTTGAAGGGTTATTTTGAATTTTACCCATAAAAATATTCCTCTTCAATCAAATAAATCTTTATCTTTTCCCTCCGAAAAAAATAAAATTGTATAAAAATATATTAATAAAAAAAATGCTTTGAATAGGCCAAAATGAAACTGTCTCCAGCTTGCTTGGATTAATTGATGATCTAACTTTGCAATCCCAAGCAAAGGATTTGATCTCAAACTTGAGCCATCTATAAAACTTGGCCAAAAAAAATCCTTACCTACCATTAAAACAATTGCCTAATCATAAAGTAGCACAAAGAATGTCTATTATGTGCATTAACGTGCGTACCTGTTAAGTTCCAAGCCTACGCAAGTGATATCATAAGCATATCGTGTGGATTTAGGGCACAACGATATAGGGCCCCACAGATATTAAGAATGCGTTTGAATAAAGAATTTTAAAATTTCGAAAATATTTGAAATAAAATGAATAATTTTGAAATTTTAAAGATATTTGAAAGAATATTTTTTAAAATACATGATTTTAAAATGTTAGTATTTATAATTATTTTGTTTGAATAAATATTTTTTAAAAAGAAATTTAGTCTAAATAATAATAAATATTAAAAATAAAAGACATAAAAACAAAAAATAAAAAGTATAGAAAAGCTAAAGAATCTATGAGTTAATTTTTTAGGATTTCTTGGTAGAATAAAAAAAGTAAAAAGATAAATGGAGAAAAAGTGAATGAATTTTAAATTTGCTTTATAAAAAATGATAATTTTTTACACTTATTCATACATATAAATCATTTCAAGTTAAAAAAAAAAAAAAGAGAAATTTAAATAATGTTGCATTTTATAGAATTATCATCATATTTAAATTTTTACTTTTCATTTTAATTTACAAAAAATTATAATAATTAAATATTTTTATTTTTATTTTTTCTTTCAACGTTTTCATCATTCCAATCAAGTATGTCAAATACATAGTATTTTTTTTTTCTATTTGTCAATTTTTTTCTCTTCTAATTTTCCTTCTTTTTTTTTTTTTTTACCTACCCTATCAACTAACCTAAGACGTGACAGATGCATGTGCTTGGTTTTGGCGTTAGGACGAACGAACTTCATATTATAGTAGGCCCATACCAAACTTCCATGTTCTAAATAGAGACCCAAATAAATGCATTATAAAGGTACCATCCGAATGGTAGGCCCATAACAGATTTTCATGTTCTAAATAGAGACCCAAATAAATTCATTATAAAGGTGTATACAAATCTGACAAAAGATAGTCCAACCATTATCTCCTATATTATCATAAAGTAATCAAGTTCAGCCATGGTGTACATCAACCACATCACAATTCAACCAAACCTCTACATATCCCTCCCTCATCAAAATGCCAGTGGCTCAACTCCCACCATATCATCTCCCTCATTTATATGGGTTCCACAACCAAGTAATTAGGCTTTTGTCTAATGCCACAAAGTTATCCACTCTTTTATGCTCTCCACTTTACAATGTCTAAAGGTCTAACCATTTCAATTTGTTCTTTTTTTTTTCCTTTTTTCTTCGCTTTTCTTTGCAAGTAACAGCATACCCAATCCAGACAAAACTCCCTCAAAAGGTATGCCATCACCATATACCAAAAATTATAGCATTTCACCTCAGTTTGACCAAGCAATCAAAATGCAAGTTTTGGACATTATTTTTGCAGCGCGGAAAAGAAAGAAATTCATGCACTGACTAATCTCTTGATTTCACCAAAGGTACATCCCATGTGAGGCAAAAAACCGAAAATCTGGGTGATTGACCTGAAGCAGTCTTAGCCAGTTTTCTGCATCCTGCATAAGGGAATTCGCATTTTGACACTCGCTCACACCATTTTTTGTCCACATGGATCCTTTGAATTTATAAGATGCCATTCCGAAAACAGGTAGCGAAATCTTTGGGATGCCATCACCATCGTTGGGATATACTACAAATGGTGTTTGGCCACTTCCACTGCCTACAAAAGCCAAATAAGGGTCACCTAGAAAGGACATCAGAAGTCCATTTTGAAAAAGCACACCAAAACATGTTGTAAGGTGTATTAGTATGAACCACAATTCAAAATTCTCTTTGCTATAACAGCATCGATGGCATTAAGGAAGTGAAAAAAAAAAGGTCTTCAAAACTATATCATAAATTTTATGCACTGTATGATATATCTTTTTATCATAGAATTCAAATGAGCATATGGATGGACACAAAAGATTCAAAATGTTTCTATCAAATATGAGAGAAGATAGCAACTAGAAAAAGGTTGAAGCAGATAAAATTAACCGGTACCAGTAATACAAAATGTAAGAGCCACTTCATAATTCAGAATTGGCAGGACAACTGTTGAACATCTTGCAGAAGCCAACTGATTGATATAGGAAGAGTCACCTACAGCCTAAGACTCATAAATCTAGCCTCAAGAAAAGCTTATGGTCAATTATTCCCCTCTAGAAGACCAGGATGAATGAAACTCATCTTGTAACACAAGCCTCAAGAAAACTAAAAGACGGTATTGGTAGATTTTCAAGTGGAATGTGATAAATAACTAAGCATAAAATATATGGTGTATCAGAATTTGCACCCTTTCTATATGGAGAAATTAAACTTCAATAATTTCTGGTGGACAGTCCATCTTCCTAATCATCTCATATCTTCACATATCAAATGCCACTATTTTAAGTTTTCAAAATGAGGATAGAGACCTAACAACTAAAAGTGACCAATTTGCTTATGCTGTAAGTTTCTCCACAAAAGGAATGCTGACACAGAACTGGATTCAACAAATGCAAAGGGATAAGGAATAAAATCGAATTTGATTCGACAATAATATTTAATTATTTGGTATAACAGCTACAAGATATTGCTGCAATATCAGTCATGTATGTAACAATATGATACAAGCAACTATATAGGTGAAAGGTACAAATGCCTAAAGGGAGATATTAAGTTTTCTTAAATGTTACATCAAAGAAAAGTATAATTATTATATAATCTATCAATTTTAGTTCACTACTTCACTATCAAATCAAGGTTGAGTGTACGAACAAAACAGGAGCAGCAGAAGGCAAATGGGAGACAAGGGAGAGAGAATTTCCCTGATCCACCATAACAACAATCAAAAAGATCGTGATTACCTTCCATGGGTGTGCAAAGGAAATGGTAAGTTAGAAAGCATGCATCCAAGTTTTTTAATGTAGGACCTGTAGGTATTCGGTATATGGGATACCTACAAAGGTAAAATCAAAGAAAATGAACACTTTACAATACCTCAAAAGAGAAAAGATCACACAGATCAACATCAATTTTACCATGCAACAGATATCCAACTCTTGGGTAGTAAGTCACAACTTCTTAATGTCTTCAAACCAGGATACTTGCAAGCTAGGTCAAATATCTGCAACACAACAGAAGAGAATAAAAAATAAATAAATAGCGGATTTGATGCAGAGACCAAACCAGAAACCTATCCAGTAAATAAAATAACTAGCCTTGTCTGCCAAGGGTTCACGACTATAAGGAGTATCCCGCTCAAAAAACTCAAACAGCAGGTGACTTTGAGGGTTGCCAGTTTCCCTATCATCACTAGAAAAGCCTTCTTGCAGTGTACTGTTTTCATCACTTATAGACAAACTGCTCACTCCGAAAGGTATCTCATTTGTCAAACTGAATCGATTACACTGTTCTCTAGGAAATTTAATGCCTTCATCTATTTCATAATCACTACTTCCATCACTACTTGAATCTTTGTAGTAGTCACCATCGCTCTCTTCTCTAGCTAGCCTAACCACACAACTCAAATTTGTTAAAAGTTGATAAATTAAACCAAGCTCCCTAACTCAAAATACAAAGTATAAACACAGAATTCAATACAATTGCATTAAAACAACATAAATTAGAACCTACATTGCATACAAGAGAAAGGAGGAACAACCTGATAGTATCAATATTAATTGGTGCATGATATGCATGTATATCATATGGAAATGCATACAGCCACAGAAGAACTACTTTTACAAGATTTTTACTAAACCATCATAAATACAAATATGCTTTAGATCATTGTGTCTCAAAGATAACCCCATTAGGGGATAAAACTGCTAAAAGCATAAAGCAGAATTAAACAGGTTTGATGTGCTAAAATAATGATAGTAGTTACTTAATCTTTTAGACCCGGGAAAAGTATTTCTTGGGCATTTAAGAAAGAGCTAGAAGCAAAACTACACATCTTGCCATCTGATTCTTCAACAATCATAAAGCATGTGGCTTCAAGACAGATAGAAGATGTCTAGGGATTATCAGGAGAAGTTATTTGTCTTAACAATATTACCATCACACCAAATGCTTTGTCCAGGGCCAAGATATATGTGCTCTTGCTGAAACACTAGTGTCGATGCATTTTAAGCAATCCCCATATTTTCATTTTTGGAACTTACAGACATATAAGGAATTAAGACCTGAAGCTAAAGCCACCTAATACTATGAAAAAAAAGTATTTGCATTGAATAAATGAAATGATGAAAAGGCACCAAGGAGGTGCAACCCAAGAAAAACATTTCATTCTCTAACCCATAATTCACAGAACTACATTTACTGAAAGTTGATTGATTAAATTTTGCTCCCAATAAATGAACAACTAATAAAAAATGTTTTTGAGACCAAACTAAAATGGCTTTTGGTCTTTAATGAACCACCACATATCCATACTTGCAGTAACAAAGCATGACAACTCTTCCAAAGAGTAAGAAACCTTGATATGGCATATAACAAAAAAAATTATCACATTTTTATAAATATCAATACACAATTTTCTTACTTTTGTGTACTGTCAATAACCACAAAGTAAGCAATACAACCCAAGTCTCAAAGGTATTTCCTCTTCTGAATACAGAGGCACCGTTCAGTAAACTGGTGTGCTACAAGAGTGAGGTGAAGTGGAGCTTGGGGGCCAATTGGAGCCTCTGTACCATGGGAATGAGTTTCCATCACTCCCCACCAGTTTATTGAACGTTGTCAAAATAGTATACAAATTCGTTTTAAAAAAGGCCGCTATTCTTTCATGGAAAGACAACCAAATGTCCAAAGTATACAGATGAACAATCATTGAAGGAAAAAGAATAAAGATCATGAGACTGTGGATCATATAAAGTTATAAACACTATAGCATACCGTTTGGTATAAAGCAATGAAAGATACCAGTCTGCGAATGGGAAAGAAGAAATAGCACTATTCACTGTTCGTCAGATAATGTACCAGTACCACAACTTGGAAAGCATAACGAATACAGTGAAGCCAAATACAGTAATTGTTCCCCTTTTCTGAAAAGGATTCAGTAATTGTTCAAGAGAGAGATGGGGAGAGCGTATGAAACTTCATCCGACAGAATGTAGTGAAAAATAATAGAAACTTGTCTATCCACGTAAAATCTATAGTACTTAATGCAAAAAAGACTGCATATTTTGTCAATGTATCTAGATCTAAGGGAAATCTTACCTTGGCTTGGCATTGTCCTGCATAGATTCACCATATAATTGGATCCCTGACAAGTATGGAACATAGTACTGAACAACACCATCACTCCAATCAAGCACTAAAGGCACTCCTGCGCCATATGCACTCCATTCCTTGAAAGACTCCCATAAATCATCCAATGTAAAGTAAGGCTGAAACTCCACATGACAAGTCCTCCATCCCCTCATTGTTGTCTATACCAATACAAAAATCAAATTTCCATTCAAATAACGACTAAAAAAGAAGAAATCACCAACCAGGCATGTATATGCTCAGATAAGTGAATTTCTTCATGTTCTCTAATTGCCAACAGCAAAGTACAACAAAGTCTTATCCTAAAATTTACACATGAAGAAACAATTCAGCCAACTATCAAACAATATAAACAAAAGCAAATTATAACCATATAAGAAAAACATTACTAATTTTTCTTGCTCTTTTCCAAACATTCTTAGCAACCAAAGAGAATCATCATCATAAGGATGAAAAAGGAACATCAGAATATATCAACCTTAGAAATATACTGAGCAGGGACCGAAGGCCTGGTTGACTCCAGGAACCTTTCAAGGTTGCTCCTTGAGACCCCCGATTCCTCACAGCCCGGAATAGTACTTGAAACCAAAGTCTTCTTAGGATTCTTATTATTATTATTATCAGAAGCTAAAGCCTTGCTCTTTGCTGATGTTGCTGACGATTTAATACAATTTTTCTCATTATCTTCCTCAATAATTTCTTGTTTTTGCTTTTGCTGTTGTTTTTTGTTTTGATTTTTCCTAGCTTTTACTGGAATGTAAAACCGATCATCTCCTCTAACTTTCCCGAATTGCAACCCACTTCCCAGCATTCTCACTTTCACCTTTTATCTATTACAAACCCTCTGCTTGCCTGCCTAGAAAACGGACGAAAACAGAAAGACAACGCAAAAAAAAAAGGTTCAAAATCAACTGCTTCTTTCCTCCAAAAATTTCAAAAACTCAACTCAAATATGGGTTTGTTGAGTGAAGGTCTAAAGTTAATCAAACTCTCAAATCTGGAAATAGAAAAAATGATTTTCTTGCAGATTCTTAGGAAACAAACAGGAAGGGAAAAAAAAACCCCCAAACTTTTTCAGTCAAAGAATGGAGAAAAATGGTAAGGAGAAAGAACGGGATTGTTGGTTGAATAGAAAAAGACAAGAATTTGAGAGAGAAAGAAAAGGAACGAAGAAAACGGGTAAGGCGTGAAGGAGAGGAAAGGAAGACTGAAAAACCACACTGTTTTCATATGGCCTTCTTCAAGATAGTTCAACAACAATGAAGAAAAAACAATATATCTTTTTCAATGGTGGGGGATTGGATTCCCTCTTTTTTTTCACAATGCCCTATTCGTAAATTTCAATTTGAGTTTGAATTAAAAATTTTTGAAAATTAATTTTTTAATGAAAATATATTAATTCGATTTAATTCATTAATTTTTTAAATTTAAATTTTATTATATATATTATCTTAATATAATTTTTAATATATTTAAATAAATTTAAATATAAAATAATTATTTTATTTTATAAAAATTTAAAATATATAAATTAATAAAAATATAAATTTAATTCTTTTTTATTTTTTATTTTTAATTCAAAACTAAATTTAAATCTAATATATATTTAATATTTAAATTTAATTTATATCATATTAAAAAATTAATTCTAATTCAATATTATAATTTCAAATCATTTTTTATTTTTTTATTTTTTTACCCCTCATCATTATTTTTTATTTTACCTACTCCCTCTCTAATCGGCATTTTGTCTGACATTTTCTTTTTTTTTTTTTTTTAATATTTTTGAAATAATTTTTTGACAAAAAATAATTTTGGATTTAGTTTCATTTTTGGAGGATTAATTGGGTGTGAAATAACGAAAAAGACAAAAAGATTTTAATTATGGGATTGGTTGGATTCTTCGGAAGACGACACGTGTGTAGTGTAAGAGTTGGTAAGACACGTACACAAAGCATTTTTAATAGCTACCCACCCCTTTCTTTTTATTTTTTAATCACATAAATTTCAAAAAAATATAAATATATAAAATTAATAAAATATAAAATAATTATTTTTTATAAAAATTTAAAATATATAAATTAAATATAAATTTAATTCTTTTTTATTTTTTATTTTTAATTCAAAACTAAATTTAAATCTAATATATATATATATATATTTAATATTTAAATTTAATTTATATCGTATTAAAAAATTAATTCTAATTCAATATTATAATTTCAAATCATTTTTATTTTTATTTTTTTAACCCTCATCATTATTTTTTATTTTACTAACTCCCTCTCTGCATTTTGTCTGACATTTTCTTTTTTTTTTTATTTTTAATATTTTTGGAAATAATTTTTTGGCAAAAAAATAATTTTAATTTTAGATTTAGTTTCTTTTTTGGAGGATTAATTAAGTGTGAAATAACGAAAAAGACAAAAATATTTTAATTATGGGATTGGTTGGATTCTTCGGAAGACGACACGTGTGTAGTGTAAGAGTTGGTAAGACACGCACACAAAGCATTTTTAATAGCTACCTTCCCCTTTCTTTTTATTTTTTAATCACATAAATTTAAAAAAATATAAATATATTTGTAAAAACAGTGATGGTAATAAATAATGGCATTAAAGTAATAAATGAACTCACTGATGCACTAAAAATACTCATCAAGTTATTTAAAAGAAGGAATTAATTATTTTTTAGAGAAACAAAAAGGTTTAAAATTTTTATAAAAAAATGTTTTATTTAGTTAAACTATGATTATTTTTAAATAATAGTTATATATTGAACATATAATTGCAATTGTACAAATAATTAACATGTAAAGTGTTTTTTACATGCAAAATATATCATATTAACATAAAGTTTATTGATTTTAACATTAATGAAAGATTAAACTCTCAAATAAAAAAATTGATATAAACTTCAATTATTTTTTATTTATTAAATAAATGAATTTAATAAAAGTTTTAAATATAATTAAAAAATTTACTAGAAATTAGAATTTTTATTTATAAATTGAATAAATCTTATTAATCAAATAAACTTATGAAAATCTCTCAATAAAATTAAAATTCTTATTTATAAGCTTTTCAATGGTCTTATTTTATTAATACATTGAAATTTGTCAATTTTTTTTATCAGGAGAAAAAGAATTCAAGTACACAAGCACTCATATAAACCACAAGTGAGACTTATAAGTTCAGCAAAAGAATAATAAGTGAAATAATAATATTTAAGTATAATCCACCAACATTCTAAAATAAAAGACCTAAACCTTTAAGAATTTGTCACACTTTCTTTTATTATAAGCAAGGTTGTATTTGTGATTTACTTTTACGTCTATGATTTAACATACAAAATAAGATAAATTAAAAAAATATACCTCATATCTTAGGAATAGGCCAAATAAACTTGCTGCCTTAAATATATTTTTTATAATTTTCAAGTTAATTTTACCAAAAGAAAATTGACATATATGACATTGTTAGAGAACAAAAATGAAAATAGAGGAAATAATGACAAAGCATTAAAAAAAAGAAAAGAAAAATGGTAAACATTGTTAGTTTCAAAATCAACAAAAAATATTTCTCATAAAAATTAGGTTTTACTTATAGGAAGAATAAAAAATAAAAACAACAAATTTGTTAATCTAATGTTAAAATTTATAACAAATTGTCTACTCTGTAACTTAATTATTAAATTAATAAATTTTACATTATATCTCTTTTCATCTTTTCAATTTAAGTTTAAGTATCACTTTTCAAATCACATCAACATATTCATTCTATCCTTAATTACATAATGAATTTTTGTAAGTTACCTTGTAAAAATATTTAGCACTTCTTTCTTTGGAAAAGAAAAATATTTCGCACATAACTTTTTAGTGACAAAAGTTAATCATAAATTTGAAACCATTTTTTTCTTTAAAAAATAACACATATTATATAATATATAAAAATAAAATATCTTGACTGACTTTTTAAGGATTGTCAGCATAATCGAAACTTTTTTTTTTTAAGGAAACAAAATTGAACTTTAATAAATTTGGTTTCAACTTTATGGCGATATCATTAATCTCATATTTAAAGGATTTCTTATGTCCCAAAGTTAATCCCATAAATAAAGATAAAATTTTTAGAACAAATAAATAGTTGCCTCCAAAGGCTGTCCCAAATTCATTTTGAAACTTTTGGCCACCATCCTAAAATCAATTTAAATGTGGACGGAATTAGGATTGACAACGAGTCAAGTCGAGACAGATTTTTACTTATCTCGAACTCGATTCGATTTCATAATCATAAAACTTGAATTTGATCTGATTCAAAATTTTTTAAATTTTTTTATACTCGAATTCGACATTACCCAATATTATATAAACCATATCCGATCCGATCTGACTTGAAATTAATAAAATATTATTTTTTTAAAATATAAAATATTTTTTAAATATAAATATATAATTACATATAATTAAAAAATTAAAAAAATAATTAAAAAATAATTTTTAATATAATATCGAGTTGAATTTGCCTAAAACCCGAACCCAACCCGACTTGACTCGAAACCTGATTTTCAAAAAAAAAAAAAATCAATCTTATGAGGTCGGGTCGAATTGAAACCTACCAAGCTCGAATTGAGCTGCCAACCCTAGACAGAACCATTTATTGAAACAAATTGCTGCAATAAAGAAATAAAGTAATGTTATTTGCCTCATCATTTTTGTTTGCCAAAATAAGTTCATAATCATATATAATATAAAAATCAAATGCCAAATCTTTTTTATAGAAATTCTAAACATATATCTCTTAATTTTATTATATAAAGTCATATATAATATAAAACTCAAATATTTTGTAATAAATGTCAAAACTTTTTTACATAAATTCTAAATATATATATATATATCTTAATTTTATTACATAAAATCCAATAAACTTGTAATTATCTAATATTTATATGGATTCATAACTTTTGATTTTCTCCTATTAGTGTTCCTTAAAATCATTATTTGTTAAAATTTATTGAAACTTTTGATTTTCTAACATTTTTTATTTTCTTTTGATTTATGGTTTTTCATTTTTTTTATGAAAGGGTTATGTTAGTGCATTTCACGTCTCTATTATATATTTTTTTCCAATTATAAATACCTCATTTCATTCAGAGCCCATAATTGAATTTTGATTTGGATTTTTTAAGCTTTCGAAATGTCTATCGAGTCTTTAAATTGGTGTGTAATAATGGGGCCTTAAACTGATTTTTGGCTTTAAGCCTAGAATGGGTTCCTTTTGGTATCAAGACTTAGAGCCCACTTTATAATTGCATTTCTATTTTTTACTGCCTTAATAAAAATTAATTAAAAAATAAAAAAGGAAATGAAATCAAAAATTTTTTAGAAGATCAATTCAAAAATCAAAGTTTCTTAAATTTGGAAACACGATCAGAAAAACATTGACCATAATTAAATAAGAGAATTAAGCATTGATTTGGATTGAATCTGTTTAATGGCAAATTCAATCTTTGATAATAAAACCCTAAAATTTCTTATGAGAAACACTTATAGAAATCATTCAAAGGCATATAGAAAAGGGAGAAAGCTACAAGGATAAATTATACAAAAAATATCAGAGGTTTTTTTTGGGTTTTGGATTCGTTCTAATTCTGGGTTTTTTGGGTTTGGTTCTTTGTTCAATTGGGTTTTTTTGGGTTTGCAGGGAATTTTTGGGTTGTGAATCAAGTTTTAGGTCATTTGTTGGGTTTTCCTCAGATTTTTTAGGATGTTTTAGGTTTTATGAATTTTCAGTTGAAGTTTTTGGTAAATGTTGAATTTCCCAATGAGATTTTCTAGTTCTCGGCATCCACATTATCCTTTAGAGAGAGAAGCTACAAAAATCAAAGGGTAAAGAGAGAGTGGAGATTTGAAAACTGAAAAAAAAATTTTGTTGCTCTTAAGGTGCTCCAAAACGCATCATTTCATTTAACTAAAGATCCGTATATTTCTTTAAAGGCGATCAAACCCGCAATGTAACTTGATTCTAACTCACATCCTTTTTGTTCTAAGCCAAGTCGTGCCCTAATTGAGTGCCAAGCCGTATTGATCCCTATGCCTGAGTCGAGATGCAATTCTCAACTGCCAAGCCAAGCCAATTTTAAGTATCTTTGTTTTTACTTTTATTTTATATGTTTATTTTATTTACCTATTTTATTTATTTATTTTAAATACTTTTATAAAACATATTTAAATAAAAAATCTTATCAACAGATTAAAGGGCTATCATTTTAAAAAATAAGGTTTTACCAACATATTGGAAAACTTTATAAATTTTAAAATTTTTCAAAAAAAGC